CAGATCCAAGGATAGAAAAAAATCTCCTTGTAGCTCATCACACATAGTTGAATATGGCCTCCCAAACACTGCCGAACTCCCCAACCATGGTTAGGAGCTACTAAGGTCTCAGGGCTCAAAATTCATTTTTGGGAATTATTAAGGTGCACTGGCGGCTACCTACAAAATTTGGGTGTACAAAAAGTATTTTAGGTGCACCATATATGATAAAATAAGTAGAATGTTAGAAAAAACTGTAATATGTTCATTTCAAGAAAAGTACTATAACTTGGGGTCAACTTTGACTCTAATTTAACTTAAATCTGATTTGATTGGTATAGAAAGGTACTACAGGTGTGGCCTAAAACTGGTAAGAATGCTCCCGACTGTCAGCCAACCTAGGTTGGTTGGTTGGTTGGTTGGTTGGTTGGTTGGTTATTTGGTGGCCAGGGGGAGGGAAGGTTCTGAATGTGTGACAGGGACTTTAAACCAACAGGTCATCACCAAGGAGATAAAATTGGACTCCCCATGGGGGGCTTCATTTGGCCTACTTTCATCTATAAGGGGGCCACTGGGTCTGCCAAGATAAACATCAAAAGGGTGACTGCTCTGTAAAGCTGTCTGCTTACTCTTATCACCTTCAGTAATTAGGTAAGGCTCACACTAACTCAAATGTCAGATGTTGGAACTGTCAAAATAGGCCTAGGCTACACCAATTTTATTTGTTGTTTCTCGGATTTTTTCAGAAAAAATATAAAGCGACAGGGCAAAATGAAAAAAATAAAAAAACAGGCCAAGGCACCCCATGAAGATCGGAAATGTTACGATATGTATACCAGACTGGTTTATAATTAAAACAATTATATACATTGCATAGATTTTGAACTTTTAATGAAACAAAGTTGCATTGTTACATTAACTTTACACAAACTTTAACGTCTTTCATTGAGCATTTTGGTTTGGAACCTAAAATCTTCTTTTTTTTTTCAAATCAGAACAAAATGGACAGGGGGAATCTGAGAAACAACACATTAAAGTGGTGTGGCCCTAGGGAAAAAAAAAGTTGTGTTTCATGTTTCACGACCGACCATAGAAAAAACTGCCAACCGTAGACTTTTTTTATTTGGACCCCTGCAAGGGACATAAATTTTTCGAGCAGATTGACCTTTTCTAGCTCCGTGATCTGACACCTGAGTGATGAAATGTTGTACAATCAGTTTTCCAACATTGACATTGAAAATACAAGTGTCCTCATCCAAGTTTTACTTTTGTTTTTTGTTAAACTGTATTGCATAAGTTGGATCACTAGAGATCACCAAAGTCTACCGGTAATAATTATATATATAGAAAAAAAAAAAAAAAAAGATAGTCCCTACCTATCGGCCCTAATTTTTTTAGGAACATTTTTTTAGGAAATCCAACATTTTTTTTCCTAGGGCCTAACAGTAACAAGTACTAGTCTTTAAATAGTCTTTAAATAGGCAGATAGGCAAATAGGCACTGGTGAAACAAACCTATCAGTGATCAAGTCACATAGTCCTTGGCATACAGATGAAAGCACAGTCAAAATGGTGCCATACGTATCTTATATTCAGTGGTTAAGTGTAAATGTTGAAATGTTTGTGGTATTTCTAGGTCATGTTTCCACCACAGTATCAGTATTATCACAGTGCTACACGTAAACCACTGTGAACAATAGATCTAACTGTCACGTACAACAACAATATTGGGATAGCAGTTTGCTGTCAAATACCGGTGGTTTACAATGGAAGTCCTATGGTCCGTACTTTAAAAAGCATGTCAGGGTTGGACAAGTCCTATTGCCCACTTGCACAGGGCAAGTAAAAGCACTGTTTGGGCAAGTGAATATCCCCCTGTACTTGCCCAATTGAGCAAGTAAATTTTTTGGATGCGAAGTATATATATAATATAGCCGCTATGGTGTTTGGAGCAAAATTACTTATCATTTTGCCATATTGATATTATAAATATGTATTAATGCACTTTTGTCAGAAAATCCAAAATTGCAAGTCTCAAACCACCTTGTTTTGATAAATAAAGCATGTAGCATTATAAACTCTAATAAAATAAAATAATTTCGAATTCCTTGCTTCTATTAAAAAAATGCATTTGACAATGTCATATATATTTTGGGCAAATGAAAAGTTGATTCGGGCAAGTGGAAATGACCATGTACTTGCCCAATAGGCCAAGTAGATTTTTGGACTGTAATTTTTGAAAACTGCACAGACGTTATATCACAGTAGTCCAAGTTGCTGGTTTTGAGACATAAAAAGTGGGAGGGGAAAGTTCAAATCAAAATGCTAATATTTTGGCTCTAACATAAAACCACCATTTCATGATTTACAGAGTACGTACCTTAGAATTTAGAGGAGCAAAAATTTCAGGACTAACTTACAGTACCGCAGAGAACCAAATATTTCACAACTTACACTTACTTATAATTAAAGAAGTTGTTGCAATTGTAAGACACTAGAGGCGAGTAGACACTCCTGGTCCCGGGCCAGGGATCGAACCCACGCCAAACCCGGGCACCAGTTCACACCCCTACGCTCTAACCATTCGGCTAAAAGGTCTCGACCCGTTACCGGATCAGTTGGTAGCACCTTTAAACCACCCACTGTTACACAATGTACAATATCAGACAGGTTTTCCTATGCATTTTAATATCTTTTCTAAAAATCGCTTGATTTAACTAAAACAGACATATACTGGCAATACTGATCTAAGTCTAACTACATGTAAATTGAACAATAATGCTTTTCAACGACATGATATAAACATCAGCACTTTGGATTGAAGAAAGGCAAACAATCAACAACACCTGATAGCATCCCCAAGGACAGCGAAAACGAGGAACCTTTTAGTTTTAGTACAATCACTGATCAAATGACTGTGTCTAGAGCCTGCATACAATACAGCAGCTAAGCCTAGCATACATTGTAGGTGAGCCTAACCTAAGACTTAAGTTGTAGCCTCCATAGCATGCCAAAAATTGGGGGTTTTGAGGGTCTTCATGGTCTTTGGGAGCTTTTATGTGCCATTTTTTGATTGCATATAGACAGCATAGCCGGCCTGGTTAAATTATCCCCATTTTTAGAACTCAGGGCTAATCAGAAAACAGCCGAAGACCACCAAACCCCAGTTCTATAAGCCTGCTACGGAGTGTAAAGACTTTTGGCTTCGCAAGCACGCGACGCGGCGGCAGCTAGCTATATCACACCGAACGACAATTGTCATTGGTTGCCTTTAATTAAAGCCCAGTCCTATTCATACTCAACACTAAGAGGATTAAATAACATAAATGGCATCATTGATTTTGGAAATTACACTAAACACATAAGAAGAAATAATGATTAACAATTACTGGACTGTGGAAAATTAAAATTGATAACAGTGGTGTGAGAGTTATGAAATACGGCCGAGGCAAATTAATATGAACTCTCATAATTCTACCAGGTACCCTGGAATAAAAAAGAAAAAACGACCTATAAAGGACTTCCCAAGAATGTCTTGAACTTACTTATCCATCTTTTCCTTTTGGTTGAAGAGATTCGTTGAAGACACAGTCAAGTGTTGTATGTGTCTATTGTGTATATTTGTATATGATGTCGCAATATCAGCTATCAGCTGCCTGGCGGCAACATTGTATTGCCATGTTGCAATTTCAAATAAATAAAAGTAAAATAAAATAGCCAGTATAACCGCCTTTCGGCGTAACACACCAGCTTCACAGGCACACGGCGCTGCGGCAGCTGGCTACATTACACCGATCGACTTGTTACACCTAACCCTTGAACATCTAACTCTAGACATTGTTTAAAGCTATCTAAATTCTAATAAAAATGCCCCTACTGTACTTGGTGACAGTGAGTTCCACTCTGCGATAGTTCAAGGAAATAATGAATTCTTGAACACCTCAATCCTTGGTTGATAACTCTGGTACTTGAAGGCATGGCTATTTTGGACCCTGGACAACCTCTGTGTCTGTTCCTAATGTCAGGTGGGCCAGTGCCAGGTAACATATGGGAAACACATGTGATCTTCACAGGACACCCAGGGATGGCTTAAAAGGTTACTTCTACACCACATGGGGGGAGAGTATTTTCATTGGCTTCTCTTTCTGTATGTGTGAGTCTATACGTGCGTTTCTGACTAACGTGAGGGGGCGAAGTCTGCCATCTCAGGCCAAGATATCTTACTACTTCACCAGGAGGGGGGAGTTTTTCATTTTTTGGCTTCTCTTTCTGTATGTGTGTGTGTATTTCTGACAGACGTGAGGGAGCGAAGTCTGCCATCACATATTGCCTTTTCAAGCTTTTGCAGTATTTCAATACATTATTACGTGTATTAAAATTAAGTCATGTGCATACAAATTTTTAAATAAATGTAGACTTCTTGTTTGATTTCAAGTGATAGCTGCTAAGAAACCATTATATAGGCTGAGCAAACAAATTTTATCAACAAACAAAAATTGTAGACTGTCAAAAACCCTCAAAAATAGATGTAATTTTTCTAATTAATTCTAACATAATCCAAACATATGTTTGTAAGAAAGAAGTTGCTAAAATAGGTTCGGTACCAAGCAAGTGTTGAAGCAAAACCTGTTGTTTATGTCACAAAATAGTCTTCAAATCTCTGTTTGATTTCCCGAGTTAAAGTGCAATGTTTTTATCAGAATGACTTAAACTTAGGTTCAGTTGGTTAATCAAGTGTCTTCAGAAAAAACAAGACGACAAGATTTTTTCTGAGACTTTTTTTTGCAGACGACGTGGCTCAGACTTTTCAAGCAGATGTTGAGTTGTTTTTACATCGTAACACGTACCATTTTTTTCTCACATACCCTAACCCAAACACTTACAGACACTGGACGCAAGGAAGGACGATTCTTTTCCAAAAAGTGAGATGAGTTTCTGTGATAGAGGCCGGGCAGTCATCAGACGTTACGATCTCAGACCGTAACATCTGCTTGAATATCGCCGCCGCGACGACTTCCTTACCTTCAAAACTTCCCGCAAGTCCACCGACCCGGCGCCGGGCGATCTCTTCCGTCTGCTCTCTGATTCCCGTTTTATTCTGTCCTTCAGCTCCTGTATCCGCTCGTTCTCCTCCTGGCTGATGGTGTAAAAGTTCCACGCTATAAAAGTCTGGAAGAGCAGAATTCCGAGCGCGACGAACAGTATTCTGCGGTAGCGCAAACACACACGTCTCAGTCGCACCGCCATTTTGGAAAAAAAAAGCTGGGAAGGTGAAAGGTCGCCAAGCTTGCGCACAGATTCATTCATACGGGGAGTGGTCTTCTTTGTACACCTGTAACTCTCACTTTTTCCAGGAGTGAGTGAGTGAGTGAGTGAGTGAGTGAGTGAGTGAGTGAGTGAGTGTGTGAGTGAGTGTGTGAGTGAATGTGTGAGTGAGTGAGTGAGTGAGTGAGTGAGTGAGTGAGTGAGTGAGTGAGTGAGGAGTGAGTGAGGAGCGAGAGGAGTGAGTGAGTGAGTGAGAGGAGTGAGTGAGTGAGTGAGTGAGTGAGAGGAGTGAGTGAGTGAGTGAGAGGAGTGAGTGATCACGTGAATGAGTGAGTGAACGAGTGCGTGAATGAGTGAATGAGGAGTGGGTGAGTGAATGAGCTTATATTTATGGTGACCAGCCCTTCCAACTTGCTACATAATGTAGTCTAAGACCACAGGACGTTCTCTTCAGCACCTGTTACCATAGTAACAGCCGTCTGGTCCAGGTCATTGACCTTCTTTGTTTGGAGAAGAAGAAACGGAGCAAATACAATATGTTTTCCTCTGGCTTTATTCTAATACCATTTGTTTTCGTCTAATAGCATATCCCATGTAATATAACCATAAACGCACAAAGCTATTCAACCTTCTCTCTGCTTGCTCAACAGAATTTGTTACATTTAATGCTATAGATAAATTCAATTTCATCCTAGAAGGTAATGACCCTTACTGTGTACAGATAGGTAAATATATCAAATGATGTTTAGACCTCAGAACAAGTAGTATTAGTTGACTCTTCTATTGTTTTGTACGTAGGTTAATTTCGTTGTACCCATGTATATTTGTCTGTATATCTACATGTCTTAGACCTTACGAAAGTAGCTGTACTTTTGCTGTGTCAATAAAGTTTTTCTTCTTGTAATTCATCCCACCTCTGCCATTTGGCCCGTGCGTTTGGTTACCAAGGAGGCAAATAGAGCCGAGAGTCAATGTGCCGCCATCGGCCCCATTCACGGAGATAAATCAGGAACAACAGCCCGTGTACAGAACTTAATTATCCGGCTGTGCAGCTAGCCTTACAATGTGTACAGAGGCTCGGTTAAATCGATATCACGCAATGTATTATTAGGTTGAAACCGATATATATATGCCATCCTTGGGCCACAGCAGGTTAATTTCTTGGTTCTCTGATTCTTTCTCTTTTTCATTCCCTTTTCCGTCTTTCTTTCCGTGTTTGGGGAGCCATCCTGACATTAGATAACTTAGATAGAACAGAAGCCTATTTCGTAGTAGAATGTTGTTTTGTAAGGAGATTTGTCACAGCAGTTTGTTGTACGGTGGCAATTGTACTTAATTCTGACATTTTATCAATTTGTGTCAAACATGTTGACACTGCCCTTTTAAGAAATATTGCTTATGTTATGTCTGCTTATGTATCAAAAATTTCCTTAATCTTTTCGGCTTTGTAAGCCTTTTAATTATCGATCACCACAATTGTACATTACCTGTTCTGTGTACTACACTGTATGTGTCTTTGCATTGTTGTGAATAAAAGCATTAAAAAATAAAAATAAAATAAAATAAAATGAAATGAAATGAAATAAAATAAAATAAAATAAAATAAAATAAAATAAAATAAAATAAAATAAAATAAAATAAAATAAAATAAAATAAAATAAAATAAAATAAAATAAAATAAAATAAAATAAAATAAAATAAAATAAAAATATTGTTTTACAGCAATGAGAGAGTCGAATTTTATCATATTCCTAGACTGATTACATCAATGTTTGCCTGCTAACATTGGTTATATACAGACAATTTCGCATTTCTAATGAGCTTAGACAAACCTCTGATCCTACAACATGTCTACTCTTACCTTTTCACTATCACAGAGAAGGGAGAAGTCAAAATTACGTATACTATTTTGATCACGTACATGTTTGTACAGTGTACACAAGTTTTTCCTTTGTTTTGTATCGGTACATCTGCATAG